ATAAGTTGTTTTCCTTCCTACTTGTCAGTCTTTTCTCTATCCATTTCTCTTGATATATCGTTACTCTCTTCTATAAATCAAAAAGGTCTTGGTTGAAGCCGTACCTTGTTGCATTATTTGTAAAAATTCCAAGCCCTATCTGACCCCCCGTGGCCACCATCACCCTTCCTGACTGTTAAAATACGATCATATGCCACTAATTTACTTTTTTAATATACTACTATCTCGGGATAGAATGGGCAATTGATTATTTCAGGCCAACCCAGAATTTTTGTCTATAAATATGGGGAGTTTTCCCTCGGCTTAGAGTTCTTCAGCGGAAACTTGAAATACGAGCTTAAAGTAACTGATATTGGTATCTTCATATCACGCCAATATTGCGACAGTGGTTTGAAAGACACATTTTACCTCTGACCACCGTCATTGACCACGGCCGAGCTCTTGACTGGGTACATGGCACCAACAGGTCCCGTCTATGCTGTCTATAACCCCATTCTTCTCACGCTTAACCCTCCACTCCATGTACCATACTTGTTCCATCGACAACTCTTTCCTCTTTGATGCACTTCACTATGAAGCCTTCGCTCCGATCACTAACTCTCCTCCCACATTTCATGAACGAGCTCCGGCTTCCGTAGGCGTGCGCCTATGGTTATCAAACCCTGGGTCCCGGGAGAGGAAAGGAAAAGAGAAAAGTGGTGCTTCATTCACAACTTTTATGCATAGCTCAAATCTGCGAGCGGGTATCTAGTGACAAATGCTAGAAAAGTCTTGTTCCCGGGGCTGGAGCGTAGGTCCAATAGGGTCTTCCCGGCTCCCATTAAAATCTGCGCGTCAGATTCACACGGTACCGGACCGCGGCAGTCCCGGCTAAACGCCAAGGAAAAATCTGGGTTTCTTGCTCCCCCAAAATAACTCGCTGCTCGCTTAGTGCAGGCCTGGCCGACCCACATATTTCGGTACGGGCTAAACACTTTGTTATCATACCAGTACGACACTATACAAAGAAATGGAGACAAGGGATTGATGGGCGGGGCAGGGGGCTGAGTTGGGTGGTGATTTGTATTTTTGAAAAGCGTTTGGATTAACCAGAGAGAAAAGACCAATCGGGGAGTGACCAGGATAGGATGGGATGGGGGATCCAGGGGCTTAGGGGTCTTATTGTATTCGATTTCGTGGCTATGTGAGGAATTATGACGGGAGGGAGAATTCCGGGGGTAGCTAAAATTGCGTCGAGGAACATCGACAGGCTTATTTCCTAATCCAAACTGTTGCCTTGACATATCCTATGTTTGAAGGATCTTTTCATGTTCGAAGCTGGGAAGGAGAACTTGGGCGTCCTCTAAGTGCACTCTCGTTTCGGTGGGAGTGATGGTTGGGGTATTGTTTGCGAGGTCTTAGAGGGTGTGTGTGAACACGCAGCGTCTCATAAATCTTTTTCTACCGGCGGGTGCCTGCAATTGTGTGCAAGCCAGAGATGGAATCTCTAGTTAAGCTACTTCGTAAAGGGAAACCATACCTGTGTCAGGTCTACCTCCTGTAGATCCATAAGAATCTGGAAGACCTCGCACCACGATAGGTCTAGGTCAATTCCGGGGTGTCCAGATACCCTCAGAATCAGCAAGGGCAGGACTAGCCATCTGGGATACTATTTTTGGTGAGTGGAGTGGCTTAATTATGCGTGGTAGAGGTCCAGGGTAAACAGACTCACCGTCTAAATCTTCACACAACAGTCCATTATCAACAGATCACAAAGATATTCTCCCAGGTAACACTGCACAAGAATTTTACCTTGAGTGGGTTCAAGGACCATATGCCAGTAGTAAGCCCATCCTGGAGTTACGCTCTTGGATCGGGGCTCCAGTTGCATTAATCTTACAGACATGAGGCGGCACATTCAAACAATTTCACATCACGTCACATCAAGCTTTCCTCCCGCTTTACCGCGGTTCTGCTACGGCACACCACACCTAAGAACAAAATGATTTTATACCAGGAGGGGGATTCAACCCTGTTTCCATAGTTCACTGTAGTGTTGTGGGTGCTATCGTAGCCTGCTTGGCGATTTATTATAGAGCAAGTATCGGTATATGATCGACCGCCCATCTACTTTCTTAAAGACGTACTTTTTTCTAGTGGAATATTTCTGCCACATTCGTTAACGGCTTTGAAGCCCTGAAACTCTATCGAGACCTAGATAAAGCAGTATCTGGTGAGAACCCCCAGGCGCTACTGCAGCCGCACCGTGCTACCTCGAATCACATTGCGCCGGATACCTACGCTGAACCGTTCAAAATCTCTGACACCTCTGAATTTTCACAGAACTTCACCCTCTAACCCAAAAAAGGAGAGCTTTCGGAATTACATGAGATAGTTAACCTGCTGTAGCTGGATTCATTAGTTGCTCTCCGGCGAGCTATATCGAGAGAGTTGAAAGTAAAAGGGATGTGGGGAAGGGGAAAGGTATTGCAGGTCCACAACTGAAATGAGGCATGAGACATAGTATGCATCCATCATACTACTTGTAGTAGTAACGTAGAGTTTGGAAAGAACATGCGGCATGGTGGTTACAAGATCGACCACTAATTGCGATAATACTGCCCACGAATAATAGCCCGGATAGGGCCTCTCATAGGAGTGGGTATAATTTACCTATTATTTTTCTTCGAGACAGACGAATCCTTCCCCCATTTGTTCCAGATACAGCGCTCTCCCGGATAAAATCCGCAAAATCTTGCTATCCGGGGGAGCTGGGCGTGACTCTAGATAGAGATAAACGTACAGTAGTAGAGCGCTTGATGGGTGGTATATTCCGAAGAATCTAGGCTTGTTTTTCTCCTTCCTTCACCATATTGTGTAGTTTCAATTAATTTTTCATAGGATGTTCCTCTGGACTTACCAAACCCCTTCAAGCCTTCGAGGTGAGGTTCATAAATTCGGGTACCTTGAGCATTCATTGATATTTATGACCATCCCCTCTTCGTGGCATCACTGCCGTAGTCTAAGCGCCCCCGAGACGCGTTTTCGTACAAGACAGGGATAGTTTACCAGGGAAATAGACCCTGTGTTGTGCAAAAACAAGAACTCTAGTACTTGTAGATCCAAATTAGGTCCCTTTTCCCATTTGTTTCGAGATTTTGGTTGAGAACTATATCCTAACGTTACACAGCATGGACAAGCATTGTTAACTTTACTTCCGCAGGTCCTTATTTAGGCATAGTAGCCCCGTCAGTGCTCACCAGCTAAAACCAGGCATAATGCACTTTAGCGCAAGGATTTCAATTCCGTGATGCCTATATTACCCACCTCTACTTAAAATAAGCGACCAAAAAATTAAGGGGCAGGGGATACCACGGGGATGCGTCAAGAACTAGAAAGCATTTCAAGTACCATCATCTGCAGGAGTGAAGCTGCTGATCGCGGGGGCATCCCACTGCTCGGAACTGCGACCTCTCCTAGGTTAGAGCTTCTGCGGCTGAAGTAGCCTTTTATTAGCACCAGATGGGCAGTTTTGCGCTACAATGGTTGTGGCCTTCCAGGGTGGTGATTTGATATGATAATGGGTGGATAAACTGTTGTCATACCCAAATTCAGATTGGTAAGCCAGTGTATTATACACCCACTAGAGGCACTGGAATAGTCCGTTAAACCTCAATGCTGACATCGCCAAAGTTCCAATCATAGCCCAAAACGAGAGTTTCTAATAACCATAACTACAGCTTTCCCCAGCAGCACTTCTTACCTTCAGAGCGTAATTTTTTCCCCCACACCACAAGAAGCCGGCGAGTGTCTATCTATCGGGTTGCGAAGGAGAGAATGTTGAATTTCAGAAAGGGGTTAGCGTCACCAGGTGATGGTAAATCCAACAGAGGAGAGGGGGGAGGAAGCAAATCCACTTGGATCGAATTACTTGCATCAGAAGATATATCGACTAGAAAACGGTGGAACAACTTCACATCAGTGCGGAAGCCAGTTTGGCGCCCGAGTTGGCATTCTGGCGTCCTAGCCTGCGCCGCTTCCGTTGTGGTTGTCCTGTTTATTAACATAGGTTTAACAATCTACGTTTCCACGAATCCCGAGTACAAGATGAAAGCAGGCACCGGGACGTTATATTCGGGCAATTGTGACAAGAGCAGGACAATCGGGATATGGCTGCACCTAGGGATAAATGTCCTTTCTACAGTGCTGTTATCCGGAAGCAATTATACGCAGCAGTGTCTCGCAGCCCCGACACGAAATGAGATTGACATTGCGCATGAACGGAGACGATGGATGGACATTGGGGTTCCAAGTATTAGGAATTTGTTCAGAATAAAGCGAGAGCGGACGTTGTTGTGGATTGCCATTGGGATTACGAGTATTCCCTTGCATTTGTTGTCTGTTTCTATTACTACTCCTTCTCAACCCTTAGGAGCAGAGCTGATTCGAAAATTCCAGATACAATTCTGCTGTATACACTACATTAGCAGCGAATGATTTTGTCGTAGCCGTTGTGACCAACAACTACTTTGAACAAGTAGCCCCCCGTAATACGACAGAGGCATTGCTCAGCCCCTACGATAAATGGGAGAACTTGAGACCCGGGGGGTCTGAAATTGGGAACCCGATGGACTCTCCCTTTGTCGGACTACTCAGGGATGTACTCCAGGGATACGAGGCCAGCACACAGAGCTACGAAGATCTGACACCTGCTCAATGCGCAAAACTCTACAACACTGACCTCATGTCCAACCACCGAAACTTATACCTGATCACCGAGCGCAGTTCCAACCCAACACTACCCGCGACTACACCCTCCTAAGCATGACCTATGTCTATAGCAATGATAGCGAGCCAAGTAGTTGGATGTGTAATCTCAGCGGGAGAACTATTTCACAAACTAACCAACAAGGACAGGCCTTATGTAACCCCAGCAGGATAGCCTCACTTGTGACTAGTGGTCTTCCATGGCGGGTAGAGCACCGAGGAAGGATAGTGGAGAGGATAAGCGGATGCAAGAGCGAGAAGACACCGGAGAAGTGCAAGGTGCAATTCTCACTAGGGATCATGATCGTTGTTATCTGTTGCAATTTTGTTAAGGCTTGGAGTATGATCATGGCGGTTGTGAGATCCCGAGAGCCAACGCTGGTTACATTAGGTGATGCTATAGACTCCTTTTTGAAAAACCCGGACCCGACAACAATCGGAATATGCTTTGCCGACCGGCGGTTTGTTGAGAGGGAGTGGAAGAGTGGATTGAGATCCACACCGAGGCAGTGGAAGCAAAAGAGGGTGCAGAGGTGGTGGACTAGTGTTAGTCAAACAAGGTGGATAACTTGCAACTTTTTCTGCTTGATAGCTATCATTGCCGGGGCAGTTTTACTTCGATCTGGTATGGGTCAGGACAGGCCATACTTGGGGACAGATATTAAATCAATGTAAGTTCTCCTCCGCTCTCCCAATACTTTCTTTGAGCAAGACATTAACATGATGACAAAAAGGTGGACCAGAGGCTTTGGAAAAGTAAACAACGTCTCCCTAGTCAATATAAACTTCAAAAACATAACCGAGGCAACCCTCTTGGCCAACCTTCCACAGACGGTCCTCTCGTTCCTATACTTAACCTACAATTCGCTCTTCACCTGCATGCTCTTGGGCCACGAATGGTCCCTCTTCGGTCACCATCACCGCACCCTCCGCGTCACATCCCCTGGGCAAGGCCAACGCTCGACATACTGGCTTCAAATACCCTACACCTACGCCATCCCTCTAATGACCCTGAGTAGTCTCCTCCACTGGGTGACCTCCCAATCCATATTCGTCGCGAGTCTCGAGATATCAGACCCACTCGGGAAGGATATTTCAGAAACAGTAAGTAGTGTGGGGTACTCCTGCATTGCTATGATTTTCGGGCTCATCCTGGGGACTCTTGCCCTTCTGACAGCTACCGGGATGCGGTATAGGCAATTTGCTGCGGAGATCACCTCTGTTGGGAGTTGCTCCGCTGCGATTTCGGCAGCCTGTCATGTTTGGGGGGAGGACCCCGAGGCTATTACGGGGAGGAAAGTGCGCTGGGGAGGCGTAGGGATCGTGTCAAACCTGGGGGTACGGCATTTGGCATTTTCGAGCCAGGTGGGGGTTCAGAATCCTATCTTTGGAGAAGTTTATGCAGGAACAGTGAAAGAGCGGGAGTGATCTGTGATGATTATTTTTTCAGAAGGTCCCACCCCCACTTAATGGGGAAAATGGGTTTGAGAGCGCTTAGGACTGTATGTATTTGGTTTGGGATATTTGATGCACGGAGCGGATTGTATTGTATGTTGTTTATGCAAGCGGGATGGCTTATGTATGTCTGGAGGCGCGGGGATTCGTGATAAGAGTAAAATTTTGACACATGTAGGTGGCCACGAAATCTCACTCACTGTTGGACATACAGCTCCTGGCGCTATCAGGGATCTATCGGATGAGACTGTACCCATACCACCAAATCCATCTTACCGTTTTCACCACAGGTACCTTTAGCAGATAAATTACTCCCTCAGAGCAGCCGGGTATCCCCACCTAAATCTTTCGAACTCCTTCTCCGGGGGCGCAGTTCTGAAATTCCATTGTCTAGTGGCGGCTCCCGCGATATTTGCGCGAGGTCCAACTTATCCACTTTATCCTACGCGCTAGGAGTGGACGGAGGTCAAATTATTTCACGCTTTACCGAATCTAAAAGATAAGACTGACAGAATGAACTTGTAGGAGCACTATAACTTTATTGTGAGTGAAGTGTTAGCCAAGTCTCTTTGGGGAATTGCGCACAGGAACTCAAGGTGGTTTCTGTGAGATGCTCTCTGCTGGGACCCAAATTTCATGGGAGCCGCCTTTTCTCCTAGGCTAACCTGCCGCTAGAACCCGAATAACTAGCACTCGCGAAATTTCTTTTCTCAGATATGAGGGCGAATGCAATGCGAGTACTGACCCCTAAGGTGTTTGTGTTCCCACGATACGGTAGTTGGAATATGAGCAACATTGGATTGAGGTCAATATTCTGAATTTACTCCGAATTTGCCACACTCAACACGCCACAACCGAAATACATGGCCTATGTACTGTACTCACCCTACGAAGCCACGAATCGACCCTGGTCCTGACCGGCGTTTCACCTAGCCCCCGACGAGGACATATCTGCCCCTCATCTTTTCTCAACCAGCCTATCCAGAATTATACCCCCAACAAGGGTTTGATTGATGTATTAGTCTAGAAATAGATATTTTGATTTGGTATGACGGAAAAGCGATTGTAAATTGACAATAAAGACAAGATAAGAGAGCGACGATATCGAGGAGTAAAAGACTGATTGATTCGCGTAAAGCAATAAGGAAAAACATTGTACTTTTATCTTAGGGAGATAATAAGACAAGAAAGAGGACTAGAAAAACTTTTCCTCCACAAGATACAGGCTACTGATAGTCGGTAACAGGAGTGTCCAGATGTTGTTAATGAGACAAAACAAAAACAAGAACTAATGCAGGATAGACAAGTAAAACAATAACAGAATCAACGGCTGCACCCACAGGTTTCAACAAGATCTACCGGTATCTTACCTAGAAAGCGCCTTAGTAGCTCTTCAATATTAGAAAGACAAATATCCGGGAGAACTGCCCGGGCGCTTAGGTGGTCAAACAAAACTAAGGAAAATGAACAAAGTAAGACCTCACAGTGTGAACTCTTGTTGGACCAGCACCAGCTGTTTTTTATAACCGCTCCGGCACGGGGCGCGAATAGGTACAGTATACCTGATAGGCCCAATACCGCTAGTCATTTCCAGTACTGCCATAATCTGGGCTCCAAGACATGAGCTCATGCTTCCTAGGCTCTAATTAATGGGTAGCAGGTCAAAAGTGTTGAAAATCACCGGTACTCACATGGACGGCTGGAAGTTCTCGGGTCAAAATATCTCTTTGTTATATCCTTAGCTTATTTGCAGTTTTGTTTCTTTTGTGTTTCATAATGTTAGACCCTAGGGATTGAGGAAAGACCATCCACCGGCATTGCTTCTCAGCCCTCGGTCTGTTCTCGGCCTTCAGAATCTGCAGGCAGATGAAGGAACCTTGGGAACCGCGGAAAACCTCAGAACTCGGTAATGGAGTTTGTTCCGGATATGTACGCTGAGTTAGGAAGGCAAGGTATTGGATACCAGGAGTGTGATAAAGTTGTGTTGTCTTTGGTATAGATAGAGCAGTCTTGTATTTTCTATTTAAGCTACCACAGTGCCGGAGGATTCAGAATATAAGCAGGGCTTCAATGACGATACTGAATATACATTCGTTTTTTCCTCTTTAGCATCATACCTCCACTCCGATTTAGACTTCATAATAATAGGTTATGAGCCCGGACTGCACATCATCCTCATAAGAAGTCTCACCTATCTTACAGTCTATCTATTCGCCCTTCCTTTACCCCCACACCTTGGTTATAACTACAAAAATGTCTGCTGCCAAAGGTCCTCTGAGCTCAATCCCGAGCACCTCAGCAATGATGTCCCTTACTCATTCGATTGAGAAACTTGACAGTTCCTTGCCGAGTGGCAAGAGTAACTACCACACATGGCGATTTAGAATCATATGTATCTTAAAGGAAAAAAGATTGCTTACCGCAATTGAGGAAGAGTTGGATGAAGATGACATCCAGGCAGTGGAGCGTAATAACCAGGCATTTACAATCCTCATGCTCAACATAAAGGACTCACAAATCATGCATATTCAGGACTGCGATACAGCACAGGAAGCTTGGGAAGTACTCCGGGAAGTCCATCAAGGTATAGGAGCAAACGGAGAGGTGGTCTTAATGCAAAGACTTTGGGCACTCTGTATACAGGAGGGTGATGATATGGTGCGACACCTGAACAAGTTCCGCGAGTTAGCAAATCACATTGAAAGCCTCTCTCCCAAAGGTAAGGGAATGGATGACACCTAGCTAGTAACCCTTCTGAGCCTTAGTCTTCCAATGTCATACGAACCACTTGTAATAGCCTTACAATCCCGGAGTGAGGATATCAGTATCGATGTGTTCTCAGGCAGACTCCTCCAGGAATCTGCACGCCGGGAGGTCTCGAGATCTAATACCTTCCGAGACAATCTTACCTCCACTCCAGAAGCTATGGCCTTTTCTGCAGGATCATTTCAAATGCAGGGAACAGGCAGGCGGTCTAGCTCTTCTGGTGGAAGACATGGTGACCTGCACCGAAGTGGGGGATTTCGAGGAGGAAGGCAAATGAGAAACAGCAATTTCATCCGCTCAGCACCTGTATCGGAGTCTAAAGGAAAATGTTTTTATTATCAGAAGGAAGGCCACTGGAAACGAGACTGCTATAAGAAAAGATCCGATGAAGAAAAGAATGAAGGTCCATCCGGGAAAAGGAATGCGAGTGAAGGACTTGCCTTTAATGCCATGGATAGAAGTCCTGATAGTTTGGGACAAAAAGGTTGGATTATTGACTCTGGTGCCAGTCAGCACTTATGTGCTCAAAGGAAGCACTTTGATATGTACCAAGGTATGGAACCAAAATCCATTGTCATTGCTAATGGCTCCAAGATAAGCGCGTGTAACGGACAAGGTCCGAGCAGGTAGTCCCAGGCACGCCACAATCGGAACAAGAGATATAAACAGGTTCGGCGTCCCACTGAGGGTCTATACGTAGGGTTCCGGTGTCCCACCGGAGGTCTTGACAAGGAGGAGCCTCGGTATCTAAGGTGAATCCGGCTTATTGATGTGCGGCCGAAGAGCGAGGTCCCAGAGGTCCAGTGTCCCACTGGAGGTCTATACTTCAGGACAGGTTCCCACCTCCGAGGTCTAGACGTCAGGACAGGTTCCCACCTCCGAGGTCTAGACAGATGTCCGGTATCCCACCGGAGGTCTAAGCCAGAGACAGGTATCCCACCTCAGAGGTCTAAGCTTCAGGACAGGTTCCCACCTCCAAGGTCTATACTGCTGGTATACTGCCCACCCAGAGAAGGCTCGGTATCCCACCAAAGGTCTATAACTCGGGATAGGTGTCCTACCTCCAAGGTCTAAGTATCAAAGGCCCCAGTATCCAAGGTTTCTCCGTCTAACGTGTATGCGGCCGAGGAGTGGGGTTCAAGGAAGGTTTCCGACATCAAGCCGGAGTCCACCCGCAAGGTGCATAACCAACTAAGGTCCAACTAAGGAGCATCCAAGCGAGCTAAGGTAATCGTCCAGTGTCCCACTGGAGGTCTAAACAAGGGGCCTCCTTGTCCAAGGGTAATCCGTCTAATTTGTATGAGGCCGAGGAGCGAGATTCAAGGAGGGTTTTCGACATCAAGCCGAAGTCCACCGCGAGAAGCATAACCAACTAAGGT